GATGTTATATGGCGAGGGTGTGTCAATCACCATAAATTCTGTCTCGATCTTTTCAGTACTAGCTTGTACTTCCACGCTTGCTGCGCCCAGTGGCCATGTCGGCGTTCTATTGAAGCCGACCATAGGGTTGCTAGATTGTTCCAGGTCGTCAGGGTGAAGGCCCCGCTCCTTGTAACATCTGACGTACATGATGTCACAAGAGCTGCCTTGATCTATCAGGATGCGTTTCACTTGGCATTCCCCAACCTGGAGGGATACTACCAAGGCATCATTATGCGGATGTTGGACCAACTCCAGGTCGGCTTCAGTGAAAGTTATCATCGGTCCTTGGCATTCTTCAGGCCGAGGTCTTTTGTATCCGACCTGGTTCACGTGCTGCAGGTGTTTTACTCTTTGGGTTTCTCCCCGAATGTCGCTTTCGTTCACCTTTGAGTGGATTACATTAACCACCCGTGGTCCTCCTGCCTGTGGTTGCTGTGCTGGGGGAGGCAGTGCTGCTAGTGCTTGAGGCAATCTTGCCTGTTCTTCTCTTGTCCTGGCCTCATCAACAAGGTCCCTCAGATGGCCTTGCCTTACTAGGTCTTCTAAGTGTACTTTTAAGGCTCTACAACCCTGAGTTCGGTGTCCTTCTTCATTATGGTAAGCACAGCGCCTACCAACGTTTCTTCCCATAAATTCCCCTGGTGCTCTTGCCGGTGCCCTGAAATAGGATTGATTTCGTATTTGGTTCAGGACTTTATAGATAGGGATTCGGAACACCGTCGTCACTGCCTGTTTACCCTTCAATTCTGTTTCTTGTTTGGTCGGCCCGTTGGTACCTCGGCCTTGCTTCGGCGAGCCGTTTCCCTTCTCCTGCTTCATCTCTTTGTTTCCCGACGTATCTTCCTCGGCTCTGGCGTACTTCTCGATCTTTGTCATGAGTTCCTCTATGCTTTTTGGCAATGTTTTTGCCAAAGACTTCCGTAGTGGGCAGTCATCTTTCAGGCCGTTCTTGAAAGACACGACCGCCACTTCTTGGTTGCATTCGGGTATTCGATTGAACACCTCGTAGTACCTCTTCGCGTAGGCCCTAAGGCCTTCTTACTTGGTGATTCTTAAAGCCATCAGAGCGTCGACCCTCAAGGACTGTAATTTGTTCGTTACAAACCTGGTCACAAACATCTCGGCCAGGCCTTCCCATGTCTTTACGCTTCCCTTCGGTAGTTTATGGAACCAATCAGATGCAATTTCCCCAAAGGATGAGGGAAATACTTTACAGAGCAACGGCTCGTTCCCACTGTATAATGCCATTGAGTTCAGGTATAGTCCAACATGAAAGTTGGGATCTAACTTACCATAATAAATTTGGAACCTTGGCATACTGAATCTCTTTGGTGCTTCAAATTTGTCCAGTTCCACCGAGAACGGTGTTCTAGGCTTAACTGGGGATGTCACCTCGGCTTCAACATTCTACTGCCTCCTTTTGAGGTAATCCCTCAAGTCTTCCTTACTCCTACCTGGGGCTCGGCTATCTCTGGACTTTAATCTTTTTGGCACACTACTTTCGGCCTCGTGGTGGGCCCGTTTCGATCTTTCTCCATGGGTTGTGTCAAAGCAGAGTGCCTACCCTTGAACATGCCGATGTTCTTTGGGCCCTGGATCCTTCATTCGATGTGTCCTTCGGGACTCTTCCTGCCTTAGCTCCTCTCGTCCGACTTCCCTGGAAGGTCGGTGTGAGTGTCTTCCACTCCTGGTGTGCTGAGGGGCTTCAGGGATTGCTTTCTTTCCTCCATTCTGGGTGTTAATTGCCGGCATCGGCGTATCTTGCAGCGGGTATGGTGGCTGCATAACATTGTTTTGCATCATGAAGTTGACCACTGACTGTAGGTTTGCCAACTTGTTTGCCAAGTCTTTTACTTCCTCATCTCTCCATAGGCACCTATCCCTCCATACCTGAAGGTTATCTTCGTTATAATACTTGCTTTGGTCTGTTCGCTTCGAAGTACCGCCCTCCTGGCCGATGTCTTTCTCTCCGTGACCCTGGTCATGATTTTCTGTAATGTGGTTGTCTCCTTCAACGTCAAGATCAATTGGTCTGCCACTCCTAACAGGAGTGTCGCCCCCAATGTTCTCCATCTGTCCGTCACTGGCCATCTATTCTTCTAAGATTCCCACAGACGACGCCAAATTGTGTGGGTAATTTTCTGACCACACTGCCCGCCTAGTAATCAGCTGGAGAGCACCGGCAGAATAGATGGCTTTAACAGACCTGTAACAAAAAGAAAAGGCTCCGGCGATGGCTCTTCCACCCGGGGGCACTTCGACGATCAAGTCAGTATATCTCTCAAAGATAATCAAGTAGTAAACTCACAAGCTTGAGTATAAAACTGCGTACCTTAGACTCACGGGGGTGCCTCTCTTTTATAGTTTACTAAATCCAAGTCCCACTAGAAGTCTGACTTCTATGGACTCCAATTCAATGTCAACTTTGGACTCTTCAAGAGATAAAGATAAACTCCCTAAGAGCTTTATCCTTATCTTCGCAAAGTCTTCTCTTTTACCTAGGACTCTTGCCCTTTATCCACTTATCCGCCTATCTCGGATTTCGATATCTTCGGAGATCACCTTGGCCTCGCCAAAGATAACCTCGGCGTCACGACCAGGACACGTGGTACCTCGGCTGACACGTCGACGTCACCATGCCACGTGTTGGTATTCAGAAAATACATCCCCACATTATTGAAGACTAGAAATCCACGTGTGTATTATATTCATATTCTATTTTTAGTTTTGAAATTGAAATCAAAAGAGATGTAACTTAAATTATTGGATTAATAATAGAAATATCATATTATTGTTAAATATCACTTTATTTCACATTTAATAATATAACTTTTAAATTTGTATATTTTCATATCAAGAAGAGGTATGTCATAACTCATTTAATCTCATTTAATTATATTTAACTTTTTTTTAATACAAATTATCAAAATTGTACTAAATAGATTTATATATATTTTTTAATTTTTAAAACTAATAATTTAAAAAGGTATAAATATAAAAATTAACTTTTAAATTTTATATATACTACCAAACAAAATATTAAATTATTTCAAGATAACTATAGTAAATTCTTTTTAATTTATAAAATTCCGTGATAATAAACACATTTTAGAAAGGTTTTGGGCCAGCTGAGGGTGTACACTTGGCTGAACATGAAACATTAATAGAAAATTTTCATTTCTTTTAAATTTTGTTTATATTTTACTTTAAAAATTAAATAAGAGATAAATATAACTTTTCTTTTTTTTGGTTGACCGAAAACTCTCAAGGCCAGGCCTGTTTATGACCCGACCCCTACAATCCAATCCGGAAAGAATATCGAGAAAATCACACCTCACCGCCCCAATTTCAGTCAAGGGCTGAGAAGAGGATGGTATAGATTTCAAACGTAAGACCTTTGATTTCTCAAATCGTTACCTTAACAACTCATCCCACCCCTCACTCCCTAAGATCGGATAAGTCTAACATTATTTTTACTTTATCAATTAGAGCGCTGACTTCTTTTGATAAATATATATATATATATATATATATTAAAAAATTAAAATGCTGAAAATTTCAATTATTTTATTCCAATTTCTATAAAATAAATATAAAAAATATAAATATCACACTCATATAAATATTATATCAAAATTTTAATAAAATATTTTTTATCACTAACATTGATCTTAAAAACACCTTTGGACTTTTGACCATTACCAATTTATTTTGTTTTTTTGCTTGGTAAAAATTTATCAATCTCTCTCTCTTCCTTTTGAAAAATTATTTGTTATCAAAAAATATATCTCTCACAGATTATAATTTATTATACTTTCTTATATTTTTTAATTAATTGATATAAATTTATAAATTTTACTTTTTTTTATAAAACCCAATACCGTTAACACGCGTACGCAAATGTGTGCAGACTGCACCGCGTGCCGACCATTTTTCCTTCTTTTTTCAATTCTCTCTCTCTCAAACAATTTCATCCATTCTCTCTCTACACCACGCTAAACATATTCTTGTTCACGTACGTTTTGAGTCTTCCACAACTCTAGTATATATATATATATATAAATCCATACTAGAAATCCACCATCTAAGAGAATCTCATTCCTCTTCGAATCTACCTATCTCTCACTCCTTCACCGCCCCACTTGCCACCACCACCACCTCTATAAAACTCAAACAAACGACAATGAAAAAACATTTACAAACCCATATACATATATTAGATCTATACATACATGTTTTACTATGCTAATCTCAGACCCTTTTGTTCTTCTTTCTAACAAACCCATTCCAAAGCAGTTGTTTTGATCTATACAAACCCTTTTTTCTTTTTCTTTTCCTTTTGAAAAATTATTTGTTATCAAAAAATATATCTCTCACAGATTATAATTTATTATACTTTCTTATATTTTTTAATTAATTGATATAAATTTATAAATTTTACTTTTTTTTTATAAAACCCAATACCGTTAACACGCGTACGCAAATGTCTGCAGACTGCACCGCGTGCCGACCATTTTTCTTTCTTTTTTCAATTCTCTCTCTCTCTCAAACAATTTCATCCATTCTCTCTACACCACACTAAACATATTCTTGTTCACGTACGTTTTGAGTCTTCCACAACTCTAGTATATATATATATATATAAATCCATACTAGAAATCCACCATCTAAGAGAATCTCATTCCTCTTCGAATCTACCTATCTCTCACTCCTTCACCGCCCCACTTGCCACCACCACCACCTCTATAAAACTCAAACAAACGACAATGAAAAAACATTTACAAACCCATATACATATATTAGATCTATACATACATGTTTTACTATGCTAATCTCAGACCCTTTTGTTCTTCTTTCTAACAAACCCATTCCAAAGCAGTTGTTTTGATCTATACAAACCCTTTTTTCTTTTTCTTTTTTTGTTTGAACAAATCATGAATAAAACTAGAGGTTTCAAGATGGGACACAAGCTCGTGAAGGTGTTCAAATGGACTATCCACCAAAGTATAAACCGACCCATAACCCGATCAAGCTCTACCATCAAGGCCGTGACGAAGCTCTGTGACTTGGGTCGGGCTCTGAAGTCCGGAGCTAAAGGACTCTGTTTTTCTAAATCAAAGTCAAAGTCCGATTACATTCTGGTGGGGCAAGAGATCGACCCGATTGAAGGGGGTGTACCGAAGGGGCACTTGGCAGTGTACGTGGGAGAGAAAGAGGACGACACGCATAGATATTTGGTGCCTGTGATTTACTTCAATCACCCACTTTTTGGGAAGTTGTTGGAAGAGGCTGTGAACGAATACGGGTTCGATCACTCGGGTGGGATCCAGATACCCTGTCGGATATCCGAGTTCGAGAATGTCCGGACCAGAATTGCCGCAGCCGGTGGTGCCGACCGCCGTATACGGCGGGGCTAGAGGCTTCGATGATTGTCAAAATAATGGTGGAGAATTGTACCGTTGTGACGTCATGCTTGGGATGTAAATTGTAGGCATTTTTTTTACCATTTCATTTTTTGTTTTTGTTTTTTGGGTTAAATAATGTTTGATGTAAAGAAATTTTAGTTGTAAATTAGTTTAACCAATTTAAATAATTTCATCGACTTTGGCTCCATTTATTTTCCATTTTTCTTTCCTTCTTTTCTTATTTATTGAGTACTAATTTATTTTCTCTAATGACAATGAGATATAACATCACTCAAAATTTTATTATATATTATTTTGATATTTATAAAAAAAATCATGGTACTTTATGACGTAATTATTAATTTTAAAATATATAAAGTTTTATTGCGTATACAAGTAAAATTTAAGAAAAACTGCTAACAAATTCAAGTTGATGGGTGCCTTAGGCATTAGATTTAGGGATTAATCTTATTTAGTGAGATATAAACATTTTGAAAAGTTGTTGAAAAAGTGAAGTCACACCAGCAGACGGCAGTCAATAGCAACAATAGATGGTGATAGTGAGTTAATCAAATTGGTGAATACATCGTGACACGTGTTCAGATATTAAGACATTTGAACTGATAATTATACAAATATGTGATAAATATATAGATAGTAGAACATTTGAATAGATAAATGACGTTTGAATATATAGATAGATAGATAAATAAGTTTTCAACAAATATGTATCTTTTTGGCCCCAAAAAATTTAAGCTTTGGCCTATTAATCTAAAATTTTTAGAAATAGACATCTTATCTAAATATTCTATATGATAATCCTACGTTCCCACATTTTTTTTTCCAGAAAAGCACCCTTTGCAGTTTCTTATCAGTAAGAATTCACTCACTCACTCTATAGCGGTAGACTCTTAACAGTAAGAGTTTGTGAATGGGAGTTTTTGTGGAGATTAATCATTTTTTGAATCCTACAAAATATTTGAAATTACTAGAAAAAAACTTATTTTAATTGGATCATAATAATGTCATATGACATGGCATGTGTTAATTTTTTTATTCTCATACAATTAATTATATAAAATTCAACTCTCATATCATATCATTATTAATCAATTTATGGATCTAAAATTATAAATTTTTAACATTTCTGATAAATTATTAGAGACAAATCATGAAATGGTGGGTGGTGATGTTATGGTCTCCATACAAGTTTGATTTGGTTTGGTTTGATTTATAATTTTACTCTTAAATCACTCCAATTACACTATGCATACCTTTAACTATATGCCTTGCTGATGGTGGGGTGACCGAAGAGGATAAGGAGGATGTTGTGAAGGATTGTGGCGATAGATGGTTTTCTTAAAATGACAAAAAAAAATAATAATAATAAATAACATTAAATTGTAGGAAAAACAGCCAGCACACAATAGTGATCCCGCTCCAACGGTGATTACCTGAATGTGTTTCTCACTAATTTCTTTCTGGCTTCTTATAATTTTTTTTTTAATTTTTTTTTATGTTATTTTTTTGTTGCTGATTACAACTGTCATGAAATTAAAAATTGTGAGGGGGTAGTTCTTCAATATTTCCTTTATTCCAAATAGACCTTTGTTCGATCCTCGCTCTGTTACCTAAAACAAGAAACACTCTAATTGGAGGGGTTGAAATTAACACTCAGACAATTAAATTAGTGTCAATATGGAAAGGAAAGGGTATGATACTTTAAAGGGAGAGTTTTTTGAGTTGATAGTGCATACCTCTTTTCTTTAACTCACCTTCTTTATAAAGTCATTTGGTGCGAATATTTCTTACACAACTTAACATGCTTGTCATCATTATTTTAGTGTCAGGGTCCAGTTTCTTACTACACCTTCAGAAACGAACAATTTAAGCTCATTGTAATTCTCAGCATATGTGTTAGCCGATTCTACCAACATCTCTTATTCGGCGTATCGCTTGGTCGGCGAATGTGCAGTTTGGCATTGAATTCTCAACAAACTCAATGAACTTGTTTCAGTTTGGACTTTATAATGGATGGGCCTAGATATCGTGCTTGTCGTTTGTTCAGAAAAATTACTTAGTTCACACAAAAATAATTTTTTTATTTCGTGGTTTTGAAAAACATCATACATAGTGTTGCTTTGAGAATTTTGTGATTAATCAAAGAGGTAAGACTTATGATTTTGTATTAAGTCATGAAAAAATAGCAGGAGGGCGTGACGTTTGACAATTGATGATGGGGGCAATTATTATTTAAAAAAAAAAAAAGTCTAGAATTTTTAAGTTTTTTCAATTTAAATTATTTTTCTTTTCATTAACTAAAATTGATGAAAAAATATTATTTTAATTATTAAATTCAATATAGGTATAAATGAAATATCTAAAATACACATTTTCATTGAGTTTAAGAACTAAAATATTTATTTTCTAACGATTTTACTTAATGAAAATAGACAAATAGTTATATTAAAAATAAATCAAAATTTTAAGATTTAAATTAATAAAATAAAAAATTCATAATTTATTTTATTATAAAGGTCAAATCTTGATTTATATATTTATATATTTCCCCGTTGATGAAGACATTGCCAGATGGTATGCCTAAACTCCTAATAATTTTTCCTCAATGTAGTCCTAGATTGCATTTTAAATTTAATGCAGAGGTAAGCCTCATCTATCTCTATTAATTATTATTATGGCACACTGTCATAAAAAATAAAAAATAAAGGGTGGTAATTTTTGAGTGCATATTGTTATGCCAATGAGGGAGTAATCATTGTGTTTGATTTTAATTTTTTAAATTTATTTTTTTAGAAATTAATTTTTTTTTACTTTTCGTGTTATTTTGTTTTTAATAAATATTTTTAAAATTTTAAGTAATTTTTTTACTTTTTTAGATTCACCTTACTTAGATATATCTAAAAAGTAAAATATTTGTAAAAACAAATATTTTAAAAAATTAATAAATACACAAGAATATGAAAAATGTACTGAATTTTTTAAAGATTTTTTTTCATAAATATTTTACTTTTTAAGTGTATTTATGTTAAGTGTATTTAAAAATTAAAAAAAATTACTTAAAATATAAAAAAATTCAATAAAAATAAAAATAAAATAAAATTTCTGAAAAATAAATCCTGAATTATGAAACCAACAAACTGAATAGTTTTTTTTTTTTGGCTTATTTGAGATGATGAATAATGAAGGAGTAATAGTTGGTGGTCTAAATTAACTATCACATTTTATCTTTGGTATTTTCACGGACCAAGAAATTTGGTTCCCAGAGACGTGTCAGAAACTCGCACTGGTCTTCCGCGCGAAAGAAATGGGGTCTAGAAAGGTGAGTCTTTTTTTGGGTGAATAAGAAAGGTGAGTCATCCCTATATTTAGGGGTTGTTTGAAATAATTTAAATAAGTGTATTTTTTATTTTTTTATGAAAAAATATATAAAATAATAGAGAGGTAATGTGATGAAAAAAAGATAAAAAAATAAAAAGATGGATTATATTGAAGTTGCCAAACTTGGCCTTACTCTCTTTTATCTTTATAATTGTGATAGAGACCCTTCATAATCGTCACTCTCATCTCAAACACTTATAATGTGGGGTTCACACATATATGAGTAAATCTCGCACACACATCAAAGATCAAGATCAAATTGAGAGTCATGGAATCCCTCCCAAAAAAGGGTCTTAAACATTTTTTTATCTTTATTATTTGGAATAAAGTTTTATCTACACAATTTTCTTTTCATAATTCCAATAATAGTGATACATATATACCAATTAATATATTAACATTAGTTATGATATTATTATTAACTCCACTTATTATACAAATTACAAATATCAAAAATATCTTAAATTATGTCACATCATCAATTAGTACATTAGTTTGTGTACTAATAAATGAAGCGACAATGTATAATGTAAGTGAAAGGAAAATGCTATAGACCCCAAATTTTCTACCAAATAAATGACCATATGTCTCACATGAGTGTGGGGTCCACGAATTTGCGAATCTCACTCATGTGAGACATTTGGTCGTTTGTTTGGTAAAAAATTTGATATCCCTAGCATTAAATATTATGGACTCCAAATAAATTACAAAATTTTCTATCAAACCTCTCACATAGGTGTAGGACACACACAAATTATATGTGTGTAGATCCTACACCTATGTAAGAGGTTTGATAAAAAAATTTGTAATTTATTTAGGATTTCTTACATAACTCAATGTAAATTTCATACCAATTAGGGTCTGAGCCAACTTTTTAAATTTTACTTATCACCTTATTTGTGAGAATTGTGAAGGAAAAAATTATTTGAATATAGTACTACTATATTATTTATTACTTATAATCAGCTAATAAAATTTAAAAAAAAAGAAAAAAAATTAAAAAAGACTTCAGCCTCATTTTTCTATTTCTTGAGAAAGTATATTCCAACAAATGAGATCTTAACTGATAGGGAGATTTATGAGCTGGAATTAGGAATGGCAATGGGTCGAGGCGGGGCAGGGCCAGGGATCGCATTCCCCGTACCCGATCCCCGATTGTAAACATTTCCCCGTCCCCGGTCCCGATTCCCGACGGGAAACCTATCACCGTCACCGTCCCCGTCCCCACCCCCTATCGGGGATCGGGTTTCCCCGACCTCGAAAATTCCCCGTACCAAAAAAAAAATGTAGCATTTTTCAACATCATCAACAACAAACATCATCAACATTCGATCAAAAAAAAAAAAAAAACATCATCGACCAACATCATCATCACAGAGAGGAAAAGAAATCTGAGTAAAGAGAGAGATCCATCTGCTCAAATCTAAGTAGAGAGAGAGAGAGAGAGAGAGAGAAAGAGAGAGAAAGAGAGAGAGATGAGAGACGGACCAGACGGTGAGGAAGAGAATGAGAGATCAGAGGTTGGGTGAGAAAGAGGTAAGATAATGAATGAAAGAGAGGTTTGACTATACAGGCCTGGAAGTTGGGCTTAATGAATCAGAGGGTTCATGTCT